GCCCCCCTCCCTCCTGCTTCGGGGGTTGACCCCTCGAGGGTCCCCAGGCTGGGGTGGGGGTGCTGTGGCCTTTGGGGGCTGTGCTCTGTGCATCACCGGCCCCTCCTGCCCCCCAGGCGCTCGCCTCAGGCCCCTCCAAGCCGCACGGCATCAGTGGCCCGACCTGACCCCGACAATGGTGAGTGCCGCTCCCATCCACTGGGTTACCTGGGCCAGAGTGGCGGACAGGGGGCAGGGATGGGAGCTAACCCCAGGGGAAGGGGCTGGATAGATGGACATGGGGAGGCAGGTAACTGGAGCTGCCCTGGGGTTGAGGGCTGGACAGATGGATGTGGGCAGGGGCACAACTGGGCTCACCCTGGGATGAAGGAGCAGAGAGGTGGATGCGGGCAACCCTGACCGCCTGCCTCTGCTCCCCTCCAGACAGTGTGCCCAGCTACGAGAATGAGGGTGAGTCTGGGGGCAGGGGGCAGGACTGGGGTGGGGGGGTTGACGTGCCCCTGCTTACCCCCATCCTCCTGCTGCAGAGCACCCTCCACACGTGGCTGCCAACATGGAGGACGACGACAACGACTACAACAATGACACTCCCGGCTATGTGTAGGGTCACGGGTCATGGGGTTATAGCAGGAGCGCAAAGGTCACGGCTAAGGGCTGGGAGACGCAGGGTGTTTTGGGGGGGAGTCTGACCTCTGGGAAGGCTGGTGCTGGTTGGGGAGGGCAGGGCTGGGGATCTATTGTGGGGTCAGGGGTCATCTTTAGGGGCGGCGGGGGAATGAGGGGTGGTTTGAGGGATCATGGCAGGGGGCAGACAGCCCGACTGGGCTGGGGGGTTTCCAGACACAGGGGTGGGGGGCACAGCTAAGAGGGGTTTTGCCTGGGGTCGGGGTGGGCTGTGCCCCAAGGCCCCTACTCTCACCCTGCTTCCCTCCCCTGCAGCGTGGTGCTCCCAGATGGCGCTGCAGGGCCCTCCCTGGCTGAGCCCCCAGCCCCGGCCTCGGCCCCGGCCCCCCAGGACAACAGCTGCTCTGGTGAGTGATGTCACACCCCTGGATGCCTGGGCTCACCATGCGGGACCCCTAGACACCTAGATGCTGCCTACCTCCCTCTCTTATGAGTGACCCCCCAATCTTTCGACCCCCCCCCCCGCACCGCCA